TCAACCCACTAACCAAATCCTCCTTGCGCTAATAATCTACATTTATACAACCTTAGCAACACTTGTATGTGAAGCAAAGTAGTGTGTGCACAAAATGCGCATGATATTTTACATTACTTTCTTGTTAAAAAAACAGAAGCAAAACAAGTGCACAGCACAACACTTGGAGAGCCCATACAACCCACCCACTTGAATTTTTAAACTTCTCCCTAGCATTAGGGGGAAAAAAAGCAATAATTTACTAGGCAGTCAAGCAGCTACAAGCAGTTTTCTCCTGTCTGACCATGTGTTTAATTGCTTTTCTCCACTCAACACTCCACTCCCACATCACCTTATTCAATCTAAAGCAATAGCGGCAAAGATATGACTGGTCCCTGCTGTGGTATTGGCTATGCTGGAAGAAAGAAAGCAGTCACAAAACAACAGTCCAATTACGGTGCTATGAGCAACTGGAACATTCAAAACTATGCATCTCAAAACAGCCAAGCTTATTATTATGCAAATGCTGCTATTTGCATAAAATAATACGGGGGAGGGGGAATGGAAAATGCATGTTTTGTTTCATGATTAGAGCTTGCTTTCCTACCCATACGATACCCGAAGTGGCAAACAATTAAAAAAATGTGGGAGTGCTGTTGTTGATTTTAATCCAAGGCACACTGAGTTTTCCCCTGGGGTTTCATGTCTAGGATACACAGTTCATGGCACTTCTAGACTGGCTTTTCTGGAAATGGCATGATAATGACAAGCATGTCATAAGGCTGTCAGAATTTTTCAGGGCTGTATAATCCAAATAGGTACAGGAACCACTTCAGCTTAAGAGGACCTTAAGAGTTACATTAATCATAAAAAGGGTGCTGTCAGGTTGAACCAAGTACATGTTCTAACCATGGACATATTAGAGCTGCATTGAATTTTCGTGAGATTCCTTATTTTTCTGTGAAAGCTGTCATTTCGGTAGGCATAACAAAGTTTGCATGCCTTTCCTTCCTCACTGTCCCCCATTTATGTACAGGGTGTGGGGGTTTCTTGTTTCCTTAATTTGCTGCCACCTGGAGATGGTGGAAGATAGTTCTTGACAGCAGGAGATATATATTCCTTTCCTGTGGGAGCTTCCCTCTATGCACAGAGTGAGATAATGTTTTGGGATGACATCTCTGGCTGACTAACTTCATGTGGATTCTTTGAATAGCATCATTGTCAGTAGGAGACACTTGGGAACATCGGTCTTGTTTGTTTCAACAGTAAGGGTATAAGTCCACTTCCTTGATAGTTGTTGTTTTGCAAGCAGTTTTTGTCAAAGGTGAAAACTACCAAATGTTTGTAAATATTTTTTCTGTATATAACAGAACCTAATTTAACAGTAATGTATACATTTGTTAATTATTTTTATACCAGATAGCCAAATATATATATACTGTATATATTTCAGAAAATGGAGAAACAAAAGCATCAAATATTTGGTTTATTGTTCAGTAGGCAATAAGAGAAGGCAATGATGGATGTTATACATCATAATAAAAATAATTGCTTTATAAAAGTATTTGTCACCTGACTCACAGGAACTCTACACATCTTTAGTTTAGTGAAGTTACAGATGTCATTTGTAATTATGCATGAAGAAAGCTTTTTAATTTATTCTGAGATGCATTAGAAATTAATATTAGAGACTACTTCCACATAAGAATTTCTTTTATAAGAACTAATTGGTGAGATGAATTTTTTTGAGGATTTGAATGGAATATTTAGTTTAATTTGTCCCATCTAACACAGAACAATGATGATGGTGCCTTTTGAAGTCAGGAAACTGGATTGCCTTTCAGATAATAAAATATTGCTTCTCACAAAAAAGTAGCTGAAAGTAAAAGGTTTCAATGATACCCTATTTAATTAACATGATGAAATTGCATTTTTAAAGACATCTAGCTTTTTATACATCTCTGATTTGTATTTGAGTTGTGAGAAGCACTTACTCCTTTTCTTCTACCGCAAAATATTATTTTAATCACATCGTGGATAATCCCTGAAAAGGTTTGGTGTTCTTCTGCCTGAAGTGCAGCAACACCTTTTTATCATATAGCATCTACAGGTGTTGAAATTACAAGGGCAGTTTGGTGATTGTGACAGGAAAAGATAATTCACATGAGTAAAAATAGGTTACAGACAAATAGTTCATATATTTCATCCCAGATTTATTGTTTTTATTAATATGCCATAGTAAAGAGATTTGGAGTGAATACTAACAGCTGTAATCCCACTTTCAGTAATTATTTAACACAATTGAAGTCCTTGCAACTTTCCAGCTCTAAATATACTAAATCCAACTGTTTTTAACATACAGTGGAATTTTGAATATTCCTGTGTAGAAATCTGGGAGAAAGTTGGCCTAATTCTATTCTCAAGTAGTTAAAAATAAGATTGAAAACAGTACTTCTTTATCTTCCTGATGTTGTCTGTTTGTTGTTGTTGTTATTGTTGTTAAGCCGGGGGCTGGATAAGTACATATGCATTCTGCAATATAGGACCTGAAGCAAAAGGGCAAGCTTATTGTTCCTTTTTGCTAATTTCATACACTTGTCAAGCCAGGAACTAGATGGCACAGCAGCAGTTACTGGGGATGGGGTTTTTTTTTTAAAAAAAGGTGTAAAATAATTCATTCTTAGCACTACAGTCCTTATGCTTGGAAAATTTGGCCTAATTTGTACATGTGGGAGTGGGAGTTTGCTACTTCCCTGCTCCATCTTTTTTATAACATTTTTGCTAATGGAGAACTCAGAAGCATTCACACCTTTTTTGGTCATTCTAACAAAGGCATCACTCAAGGATAGGTTTGGAAACTTGTTAACTTTCTGTGCTAAAAGACTGAGCAAACATTTCCTGCTCTAGGTCACGGTGCCTGATGATTATTGGTTACACAGGCTCTCAGTAGTGTGATTATTTATCTAAGCTTCCAGTTTATACAAGGAAATACCTTAACTTTAATGTTGCTTTTAAATTTTGAATGAGAATTCACTTTTAATGGGAAAAATGACCCATGGAAACTGCTGAATTAGGAAACAATGTATATTATATTCTTCTGGGCGGGGGGGAAACTCGAGTATCATACATTTTAATCTTGGTTAAATATGTCCTGTTTCCTTCAGTAGAAAGCAGAGGGGAAAAAAGAAAATCTCTGATCAAACATTTACAGAATTTGAAGCAGGCATTTTTGAAACTGTTCAAGCACCTGCCTCTTCCCCTTTAATCACTCAGTTCAGTATGAAATGTTGACAAAATGACAAATAACAACACTTGAAGCTGACTGTGTTTCAGATCAAAACACTTTAAGTTAGTAAAAAAATATATGCATACCTCCCACAGAATGCAAACAATTTCAGTCTCAACTTTATCTTGAATCCTCCCATCATGTTTGTGGTGCTTTAGAAAGGAGGGCACTGATTGAGTCTGGAGCCCCAGCAAGCTTGTCATTTGCAAATAAATCAAAAGCTCATCATTGCCATAGCAAAGGACTAATGACTGGGGTTGCTGTTGTGCTCTTTGATAGGCCCCACACTCAACCTGCTATTAAAAATGAATGCATTCAAGAGGCCTTAACATTAAGAACATAAACAATTAAGGGTACTTGAGCGGCTTTCACATGAGGCACCAGCCCTGCAGATCTGCTTTGGTGGCTAGCAAAGAGAATATGGGCAATTAGTGTTGATGTATCTGCTGTCTGCAAAGGATGGTTTCTTTTATCCCACATTGTTTTAACTGTCTTCTGTATTTGGAGATCAGAAATCTAGCGATAAGCTGTGTCAAGCCAGCTACCGACGGCTCAGAATGCATAAATATTACATGAAACTGAGGGCCTGTGTCAGGCATTTCAGAGATTGAATGCTATCTATATTGCATATTCCTAAAGCATAGCTTATATTTTTGATTGATTGACTGGTTTGGGGCTATTCATCCCCCACCCATATTTTTAAAGGTTGGATTCTGGCCTCATGAGTATTTCTTAGGACTTTTTTTTTAAATGTTGCAAGCTTGTCTTCATTTAATATCTGGAGCTCTCATTGCTAGGTGTAGAACATTTGAAAGTAGATTGAGTTCTTACTCAAAAAAAGGATAGGATGTTATCAATTAAAGTTGAGTGTAAATTTTTCTGGCTCACAGGTGGTTTGAACAAGAGACTTTGCATTAGTGCCATACAATCATATATAGTGAAAAATGGACAAATACAGATAGTTTCTGAGTTACAACAGTTCATTTAGTGACCGTTCAAAGTTACAACAGCATCCAAAAAAGTGACCTATGACTGTTGTTCACACTTAAAACTGTTGCAGCATCCCCATGGTTACGTCATCAAAGCGTGGATGCTTGACAACTGGTTGATATCTATGATGGTTGCAGTGTCCTAGGGCCATGTGATCACCTTTTGTGACCTTCTGACAAGCAAAATCAATGGGGAAACCAGATTCATTTAACAACAGTGTTACTAACTTAACAACTGCAGTGATTCATTTCACAACTCTAGTAAAAAGGTAGCAAAATGGGGCAAAATTCTCTTTAAAATGTCTCACTTATGGCAGTGATACAGGATGCCCTTATCAGCTTGTGTTAACACAAGAACTAAGCATAGATTGTTATAAAGTACCTACTTGGATATCAGTTTGTGGGGATATCCACTGCAACTTATTTCTCTTTTTTCAGGACTCAGAATACTTCAAATAATTAAAAACAAGGGGGAGGAACAATGGATTTACTGATCTCATGCTAGATTTGAACTGAGGCTTTATTTATTAATGACCTATGTAGTAAGAATACATTTGTTGGAATATATGTGGAGTTGTAGCAGATGTTCTTCAGTAAGCTGAACTCTGTCAGCTTAACTACATATTCTAATTATTTGAGGTAATATTGGGGTATTTCACATTTTTATAACATTTGTCTTTCAGATGATCATGTAAACTAAAATATAATGTGTGTGTTTTAATCCAAATATTTACTTTTCTCTATAGACTGAAATTGCAAAGAGATTGAATACAATCTGTGCACAAGTCATCCCATTTTTGTCTCAAGAAGTAAGTACAAATGTTCAGCTGTTTAAAGTGAAATTATGTTGCATCTTTGTTTGTAAATTAGTTTTTAAAATGTTAATTTTATAAAAATGCAGAAGAATGAGGAACATCTGTTGTAGTTGAAGTATGCAGGCCCCCTGTTAATTTAGTCTAGCAGATGAGATGAGATACACCAACTGTATAACTGGTGAAATAGCTCAACCACAAAATTATTCTTTCCAACACAGGAGGAGGCAGTCTAAAAAGATTATCAAGATTTTTTTTAATGCTAGCATTAGCTTAGCAGCTGTTAGTCTAGCCATTTGTTAAATCCTCTGTAAATACAAATGATAGTGCTCAATAGCACACTAAACTTTTTGAGTGGCATTTGCAAAAGCATTTTTAAAAAACTAAGAATTGGTTGAAATTCTGAAAGCATTTTTATGTTTCATTTGAAACATTAAAGTCTAAGAAAGCAGAAGTCTAACAGAAGTCTAAGTCTAAGCAAAAGGCCTGAGTTGTAATCTGTGCTTAATTTCTTGACAAACATTTATGAGCATTTATGTAGCAACTTTGGCAGGATTGTGCCACGACACTGTAAAGCACAGATGTGAATTTTGGGGAGTAGGAAAACCAGGTTACTAGCATAGATGTATTGTGTATGGAAAAAACTTGATGACTAAATTGATACCAGAGCATTGGGGGAATGCCTATTAACACAACATGAATGGCCCAGACATCCTGCCCTAATGCCTTGTCACACACACTTTCCTAGCTCACACATGGCACCCAAGGGTGCTTTGAATAATGGCTCCCCAATCAGTATTAAGGCAAGGGCTGAGGTTGTGACCAACATCAGGCAATAGTATGGTTTAGCACAGTATGCACAACAGAAGCGTTACTTATCAGCTTTGGAAGAAGGTTAACTTGCAAATAAACTATAATAAAAAAAACTATATATTTATGCATTTGAAAAGAAGTTGCATCTCGGTTTGCTAGTCTGAAATATACTTACTGTTTGATTTTTTTTTTAAATGCCTTTTTCTCCTGCAAGCAGTGGTTGCTCTAATAATAGACATTTATTTGTCTTTCCAGCATCAACAACAAGTGGCTCAAGCAGTGGAACGTGCCAAACAAGTGACCATGGCTGAGCTGAATGCCATCATCGGGGTACGTGGCCTTCCAGGTCTACCTCCTACAGTGTGTATAACCAGCTTTCCTTTCTTATTGCTTTTGGCAGTTTTGATGTTTTAATGTTTGACATGTAAATAATATCTTTGATCATTAATGGCTACATTTTAAGTATTCATTTTCTTGGCACCTATGCATTTTTAAACTGGTGGCATTCCTAAAAGCTTAATTTATCAAATGATATTGCTTTATCCTACATAACAGGCATCTCTAACCTTGAGAACTTTAAGACTTGTGGACTTCAATTCCCAGAATTCACCAGCCAACCATGGCTGGCTGGTGAATTCTGGGTGTTGAAGTCCACAAGTCTTAAAGTTCTCAAGGTTAGAGATCCCTGTTATATATCAAAGACCAGTTTTATGTGTGGAATGATTTTGAATTGTAAATTAATATTTGGAGTGGGTTGAAAAAAGAAACCAAACTGATTAGGGCTGATGTATTTTGTAGGGGGTAACAGACTTTTGTGGTATTTGAGTCATTTGATAATCTGAATATCTCCATTTAAAAATAATAATTTAGAATGTTATAAAAGTAAAGTTATTTTGTTCACATTTAATAAGTGAAAAAATGACTGGGTGAAAAGATCAATAAATGTTTATTTCTGCTTTTGCTTAACTATGGTGTGCTGTATCATCCCAACTAATATACTTTGGTAATACTAATGTCATAGTTACGCCCCAAAATAACACAACAATAAAGGTAGAAATAGTTATCTAAATTCTTCCTCCTGACATTATAGAAAAAAAAAATGAGAAAAGATAGGAGACAATCTTTAGGTTTGCCAGAATTTCTGTACCTGTCATGTTTATACAAAGTTTAACCTCATGGGAAAATCATCTGCTAATATAGGAAAACAAGTAGATAACTTGCATTTATGAGCATCATGCACCAGACATTTTGCTTGTCATATACATTTTATAATGCTGAAGAAATATCACTTGTATTTCCATCCTATTGCTTCTGTAGTAGGCAAAAGAACTTGGAAACAAGTCCTCTTCCTTCTGATATTTATTCATGTGCAAGTACTATGAGAAATTCAAATTATTCATTTACTAGTTTATGTTAATTGCTTGTGAGAAGATGCCCTGCTGGTCTTTATAGTTCCCAGAGACACTTTGTAATGATAATTAGACATGCTGCTGTATGGATTAACAGTGCAATAGTCCAGTGACGTGTTCAAACAATGGCACCGGTTAATCCATCTGTGCTTAAAATTACATCCCAACTGGAGATGGGGGAACTCCCCCCATCCCCACAAGACCCTAAGGAGGATTAAAAGATGATCCTCCACTTGAAAATTCTGCTTTAATCAATTTCTGATTTGTAGATCTCTGGTAAACTATTGGTAGTCAATTAGGTGAAATAAACTGAGAGAATGACCTTCATTTCCTTTTAATAGCCATTCCTTTCTGCAAGTGTCAGTAGATTTTCAACTTAAATTTTATTCATGCAGTTTTATTATATGCCACAGATTAGCTTTGCATAAACACACCTCCCCCTTTAAACTAGGTCCTTGTTCCTCCTTGCTTTCCCCATCCAGTCAACTACTCCCCCCCCCCAAAGTCTTTGTCTTCATGACCCCTAACTTGTCCCTATGATGTCTGTACTTGGAATTTAGTTCAGAAGTTTAACTGGGTATTTTCTATGTGTGTAAGTGTGTTTAGCTAACACAGCTCAAAATAGCTTTTTAAAATAAATTGGAAATGTTTATATTGGACAATGAATATTTTGTGAAGCATCTGGCTTATATCTTTATACAGTGCTACCTTTTCTTTAAGAGCGCCCAGCAGCCAAGAGAACAATACTGATTCATTTGCAGATTACCTCCAGTTGAATGCTTATTGGACATTCAGTGCAAATCCTGCTTTTTTATTAATTTTTTGTGTATTTTTAAAGGATCAAGACTATCATCCATTTATTTAATATGCTGATTTCGTTTCAAGTGAAGCAGCAGCATTTTTTTTGCGTCATGTGCAATGAACTCCTCCTGAAAAATAATTGCAAGAATAATAGCAAGAAAATGAGATTCGCCCTGTCAGATTGGATCAATTTAGTCCAGCATTTTATCAATGTGATAAAATGCTGGACTAAATCAAAGTAGGGTGATCACAGACATGAGACTGAAGTTTGCCTCTTGCAGTTGCTTTCCTGAAAGCCAATGTTATTTGGAGGCAGGCTGCCTTAAATCCTAAGGTAACATTACATCTTCAGGTCTAATAGTTTTTGGTAAATCACTCCTTGGTGGATGTATCTAAACCACCCCCATCATATCTTGTGGAATGAATTCAATGGGTTAGTTATGACTAACTTCCAGCTTGTGAAGATGGACTTCTATATAATTTGTTTTAAATCTCTTTCCATTGGATAATTCCTGGAAATTTGTGAACAGGAAATAAACCTTTTTCCTGTCTACTTTCTGCAAGCTATTCGTGACTTTATGCATTTCAGCCATGTCCCCTCAATGGCACGTATGCATAGGATATTAGCCCTGCAATAAACTGAGGCATTAATATGTTATTGTCAACCACAATATATCTTATTTTTCACCATTTCAAAGCATTAAATTTTTTTATCATATTGTCCAGCCTTTTTCCCCAATCTAAGTGCCTTGCACAGCTGATCTAACAATTGTGTTATAATCCAAGAAGTGTTGTGCAACTGCAGTCTGATTTTACACATAGATATTGGTCTGGCAAGAGATCATTTCTTCCACTGCACATTTGTATACACAAATAATTATCCTGTGCTGCACAATAAGTTTCATGCTCTGACATATGCTTGATTTGTTTGAAAGGGATTGGGTGCACTCTGGAAAATTGGAGTAGCATAAAATTGGGCTGACAATTCACTGGCCCCTTTGCTCTTCTTCATTGAACATTCACTGTGTCAGCCTGTGTCCCTAGAGGGGAGGAAGCATCAGGAGTCGGGTCTGTTCTTACAAGCAGCAGCTGCACTAAAGTAAACGCCAGCTCAGTTTAATAGCAGCTGTCAGTATTGTTCAGAGACCCAACTTAGTATAAAGAACAATAGTGGAGGCCATGCTCTTAAACTGCAGTGTCTTTCAGGCTAATAAAAGAAATAGCAATTTAACGGTTTAGACACCTATTGTGAGCCTGAAACATCACAAGAGAGTCTTTTCAAAATGCAAATCGGCTGCTGGATTCTCCAGCATTAAACACAAATCAAGGAGCCAGTGGCTAAGCAAGGCCCAAGAAATTTGAGTTGCATGAAAGTAGAAGACGCAATAGAGAGGCAACAAATTGAGGGGAAAGTATATTCCTAAGAAGTGTATGGAAATAGTTAAGATCTGTGTGCTTAGTGATGCTTAATGAGATTTGTTTTTTTTTTAAAGAGCTTCATTGCTTGACATGGGAAATAATTGCTTCTAAATGGTGCCCTTACTTCTTTGTTGGAATGATCTTCTACTGCAGTGTTTCTCAACCTTGACAATTTTAAGGCATGTGGACTTCAACTCCCAGAATTCCACAGCCAGCTTTGCTGGCTGTGGAATTCTGGGAGTTGAAGTCCACATGCCTTAAAATTGTCAAGGTTGAGAAACACTGTTCTACTGGAAGTCTAGATCTGTATTCCATTTGGCACAAGAATTAAGGCACAGGTTGTGTGAGAAAGGTGTGTTGGGAAACATTCAGTTAAGAAAATTGTGGGAGAAAGGTTTGCTCTCATAAAAATCTGTAAGCAAGATCTGGAACTGTGCATTTTTAATCCTGATAGAACAAATTCTAACAATCCCACAAACACCCCTCCCCTGGGTGTAATGCTCTTGAAAAGCATGCAGGTTCCTTTTTCAGGAGTCTGGTCCAGTATGGATGCCCATCTTCAACGTTATGCAGTTAGGTAGTTCAGATTGTATAATGTTTATTTGAACATATGGCAAAAGGCTCATAGGCAGAATACCTTCACACACATTTGTTTTGAAGGATAATGAAACTGAAATGTCCAATTTTAAATGTTGCAATGTGAACTAACAAATTGGCAAGTAAAGCAATCCTTCTCTTCCTATTTCAATATTCAAGTGCGGTGATAAATGTTTTCTTGGAGTGGACATTTAAATAGATTTCTTAGTAAAGTTTTAAGAGATTAGAGTAAGAGGAAAAGATAAACAGCAGTTAGGAAAATTAAAGGAAGTTAGTATTAGAATCATAATTAGGCCACACTGATAGATAATTAGATCACTTTAGAAGATTGATACAGATTTGCAGATTTTTTTTTAAATGAACTGTAGAAATACATCTTTAAGAGTATCTTTTGGATCCATAAGACATTGTGGATATTTTAGTTGAGGTGAAAAAGAATTTAATTCTTTAATGATAGAAGGGTTTCCTCTTACCCTTTTGAGGTGTGCTGTTCGTGCTTCTGTGAAATGTATCAGTTGGAGTGATGGTATTGGTGAGACAGATTGAGTTGTTGGCATCTAAAGGGCTTTGTGTCATTGCATGAGGTGATTGACTAAAGGATTAGCAAACCACTGGATTATTTTTCCTTTCCTTGGCTGTGGTATCTCTGAGACGGTAGTGTGTGAAGCTTAAGAGGATGAGGTTAACCTCTTGAGGGTTTATTATGAGTCTGTAGTTAATCTTCTGACTGCCTATAAATTACTAGAATATATCTTTTCCTGTAAAATAGAAATATGGAGACAAAAATTTGCTGCTGCAGCTTCTTATTGCAAAAGTTTTGGAATCATCATCTGCAATTCTGACTTTGGGTTGATGGGGAGAAGGGGCCACCACAGAGATAAAATGTCAAAAGTCTTTTAAAAAACTTTGGACAAAAGTGTTTTCTCCAGCCTGTTGTCCAAATGTTTTAGGCTACAACTTACCTAATTCACAACCCACCAAACCTCTAGCTGTTAAAATTAGAGTCATCTGGGGGTGAAGTGGTGGGGAAAAAAACGATGATGGATGGAGCATTGAGATACATAACTCATCCCTTTTGCACATATGCACACATTCCAGCTGCCATCCCCCCCCCCCCGGTTAATACTGATTGAA